GACTGAGCATCTTGAGATGTTATCGAGGCAGAGTTGGAAACTGATGCCGCACTGCCTTGAGTGAGATTCACAGAGAGAAGTTCATTAATTGGAGCGCGATTCACCCTATCAAGTCTTGCTTCATGAGACAGAAACATCGTTTCAACATCAATCATTGGACGTGGATTATCACAATACTGAATTATAGAAGTTAGGGTTTGATATAGTAGGAAGTCGATCGATAATTGTTTCCAATTGATCGCAATGCGAAATTCGATCTCCAATCAATTCAAAAATGCCCGCAATTTGCTAAATACGACTAAGGTATTGCGCAATGGTGCAATCTTCCTTTTCGATACGTTTGAGCTCATAATGAAGCTGACGGGACTTCGCATAGGTTTGCATTCTCTGAAACTGATCTATTGCTGACCAAATTTCATGTGCGTGGACACATTTAAAAACTCTTGGAAGAACTGAATCTGAGAGAGTTGCGAGCAGCCATGTGAAGAGTAGAGAATCCTCTTGTTTCCAAGATAGGTACACTGGATTTTCAGTGCCTGAAGCACGATCTTCAACGGTGAGATATCTAGGAGAGATATCTGGATTTTCAGTGCCTGAAGCACGATCTTCAACGGTGAGATATCTTGGAGAAATATCTGGATTCGCAAGGTGACAATAAAGTTTGTGAATGCATATGATTCCTTCAGCTTGCTGTTTCCATGAGAAAATTCTTGTCATTAAGCTTGATGTTGATATGCTGAGCAAACTTCTTGAAGATGTTTTTTGAATTAGATCCATCTTTCAATGGAGAAGATTGTTCAGTTTTAGTGTAAGTCATGGATCTCAATCATAGGCTCATGATACGATAATAAAAAAGAGAAGACGAAGAAAGAGAGTTCATGTTGAGAATGTTAGAAATGAGAGAATTGAAAATCTGTTATTGAATTGAACAACAGTAAATATGAAAATTATTACTGTTGAAATACAAGAGACTAAGAGACATTTGAATAAATCGTGTGTATTGAAAAACACTACGGAGACATTGTTATATATAGATAGATTATAACTAATTAAATGATATAGTCGATGTGAGACTATTCTATATACAAATATTCTTAACACTATATATATTTATAAATATCAATACTCTCCCTCAAGCTTGAGCATATAAGTCAAATGCACCAAGCTTGTTACATATATAATTAATTCTGGGGCTTCATAGAGATTTTATAAACACATCTGCCAATTGATCATTAGAGTTGACAAAACTTGTGACGATGTCGCCTGACTCGATCTTCTCTCTGACAAACTGACAGTCTATCTCGATATGTTTTGTCCTCTCATGGAAGACTGAATTTGAAGCAATGTGCAATGCAGCTTGATTATCACAAATAAGTGTCATTGGTCTTGCTTCTTCAATTTGAAGTTCCTTAAGCAACTGTTTTAACCAAATAAGTTCACATGTTGCCATTGCCATGGCCCTATACTCTGCCTCGGCGCTTGATCTTGCAACTACATTTTGTTTCATACTTTTTCAGGATATAAGGTTTCCTCCAACAAGTACACAATACCCAGAGGTGGATCGTCTATCAATGGGTGACCCTGCCCAATCAGCATCAGAGTATCCAATTATCTGGTTATGTCCTTTATCCTCATACACAAGACCTTTTCCTGGAGCACATTTGATGTATCTCAGAATCCGGATAACAGCATCCATGTGTTCCTGACAAGGGAAATTTAAGAACTGACTTACCACACTGACTGCAAGAAAAATGTTAGGACGAGTGACTGTGAGATAATTCAACTTTTCAACCAATCTCCTATACCTTCCTGAGTCAAATAGAGACTCCCTCTGATTGGGTAGTAGTTTAACACTTGGATCCATAGGAGTATCGGCTGGTTTAGCATTTAACAAACCTATTTCTTTCAAAATATCCATAGCATATTTCCGCTGAGAAATCACCAAATCATCTTTAGATTGAGCTATTTCAATACCCAAGAAATAGCGGAGTTTACTAAGATCTTTTGTCTGAAATTGTTTCGAGAGATGTTGTTTCAACTGGAGTATTCCCTGCTGATCACTACCAGTTATGAAAATGTCATCTACATGCACAATAAGATAAATACACCCTTGGGGTGAGTGACGATAAAAAACAGAATGGTCAGCTTCACTACGGATCATACCAAATTGTTGCACTACAGTGCAGAATCTGCCAAACCACGCTCTCGGAGATTGTTTAAGACCATAAAGAGACCTATGTAGCCTACAAACCATATTCGATGACTCCCCCTGAGCAACAAACCCAAGTGGTTGCTCCATATATACTTCTTCTTCAAGATCACCATGTAAGAATGCATTTTTGATGTCAAGTTGATGAAGAGATCAATGTCGAATGGCTGCAATGGCTAGAAGAAGTCTAATAGATGTCATCTTGGCTACAGGCGAAAATGTATCACTATAATCCAACCCAAAAATCTGAGTGTATCCTTAGGCTACCAAGGGAGCTTTAAATCGATCAATCTTACCATCTGGACCAACCTTCACTATATAAAGCCAACGGCAACCTACTAAAGATTTCCCATGAGGTAGAGAAACCAGTTCCCAGGTACCACTAATTTGAAGAGCACACATTTCATCAATCATTGCTTTCCTCCACTCAGGGTGAGATAATGATTCACTTGGAGTTTTAGTAATAGAAACAGAAGACAAAGAAGACAAACAAGTATACTGCAAAGGGGAAAGACGATGATAACATAAATCAATATAATGTGGAGAAGGATTTTGTGTTTGGCGTATACCTTTTCGAAGGGCAATCGGAAGATTAGACTCAGGTTGCAGGATCGGATCCGGTGATGGCGAGAGCGTCGGAGGAGAGTCCGTAGTGATCTCAGGGACAGATACGACTTCAGGGACAAATACGAGTGGGTCAGGTTCCCTAGAATGATGACAGTTGGGACTTCCGGAAGGGGTGTGGGAATACTTTCCTGTAGAGGTTCCGTAGTTACTTGGCTGGACTCGAAAAATGGAACAGACTCAAAGAAGGTAACATCGGCCGATACGAGGTATCGTTGTAGAGTGTGTGAGTAGCAACGATAACCCTTTTGAGATCGATGATAGCCAAGAAAGACACACTTTAGTGATCGAGTTGATAGTTTATCAAGACCAGGGAAGAGATTGTGTACAAAACACGTAGACCCAAAGACTCGAGGAGGAATTGGGTGGAGTGGAGAGTTTGGAAACAAAATTGAATGAGGGATTTTATTATTAAGGACAAATGAGGGCAAGCGAGAAAGAACATTACCATGGAGAAGTAGGGTTCGAGTGGTTTCTACGAGGTGCCGATTTTTGCGTTTGGCTACCCCGTTTTGTTGGGGTGTATGAGGGCAAGATGTTTGGTGCAAAATACCATTGGATGACATAAATATTTGAAATTGTTGGGATAAATATTCACATGCATTGTCACTTCTTAAGGTACGAATGGACAAACTAAATTGGGTTCTTATTTCTCGATAAAATTGTTCAAAAATGGAAAACAATTCAGATCTATTCTTCATTAAAAATAACTACGCGCAACGTGATAAATCATCAATAAAGGTGACAAAATACATAGACTCAAGAGTAGAGACAGTACGCGAGGGACCCTAAACATCGGTGTGAACTAAAGCAAAAGGGGATGAAACTCGTTTGTTGACTCGACTGGTAAATTGACTACGAGTGTGTTTCCCTAACTGGCACGACTCACAATGTAAATTAGATACCTTTGATAAATTTGACACCAACTTGTGTAATTTGGAAAGACTGGGATGACCTAACTGAGCATGGATAGTGAGTGGAGAATCTTTGGTTGAGCATGTCTGAGATGACAATGAAAGGTAGTAAAGGCCTTGAGACTCATATCCGACGCCAATCGTCTTTTCCGAACTCCGATCATGCAGGGTAAAATTATTGTTAGTGAAGGTGATACTACAATCAAGAGAACGATCGATCGCCATGAGTATCTGAAGAGAGAAAATATCACGCGATCGATTGCCGGACGTGCTGTCACGTGCGATTCAGGTGGCGCCGCTTGATGCCCACGTGCGGAGACGGAGGTGGCGCGTGCGGAGGTTTCTGCCGATGAAAGAAGTTTGCCGGAAGGTCGTCGAGAATAATAGCGACGGCGGCGGCTATGACCGGAGAATGTTGAAAATTGATGGTGAGATCAGCTTTCCGAAACGTCGTCGGAAGTTTTGCCAGAACAGTAACGGCGGCAGTGGCGGCAGGGTGGTCACCGGAGAATTTTGAAAAGTGAGGCAAATCGGAGTGATAACACAGTTTGCAAAAAGATTTTTAAAAAATTTCTCTTAGCACGGCGAAGAAAGAATTGCCTCTTAGCAGGCTCTAGATACCATGTTGAAATACAAGAGACTAAGAGACATTTGAATAAACCGTGTGTATTGAAAAGCACTACGGAGACATTATATATAGATAGATTATAACTAATTACATGATATAGTCGATATGGGACTATTCTATATACAAATATTCTTAACACTATATATTTATAAATATCAACAATTACAATGGAATATCTTGATTGCTATTTATAGGATGCTTGTGTTGCACTGATTGTGACAACCTCAGTGACAACTCGACATAAGGGGTGTGTGTGTGAGAGAGAGACTCTTATTATGATTGACCAGGGGTAGTATGCAGGTGTATACAATATTTATGTATTAACTGTATGAACTAGTATTTTGCTTATAGGGTAAATAAGATTATTTACCATGAAAAGTATAATATTGTTTATGTTTGTGCACTGCACATGTTCAGTCTTAATCTAGCGTGCCTTGTTGGTTTCAGTTTGTGGATTGGAAAAGATTTTGTTACTATTAGTTGTATAAATACTCTTAACTATTCAGATAAAATCAGAATAGGTGAAATAATCGGTTCCTCCCATCTCCCTCCCTATATTTCTTTAATGTTCTTCCATTTTTTCTTCTAACAGATTTAGACACAATCTTGTTTTTGTTTGTATCAGTTATTGAAGCAGCAAATGGATTGCAAGCTTGGAAGATTTTGGAGGATTTAACCAATCATATTGATATTGTTTTAACTGAGGTGGCAATGCCTGGCTTATCAGGCATTGCTCTTCTATACAAGATTATGGGCCACACAACACGGAAAAATGTTCCAGTAATTAGTAAGTTTTTCCAAGAGCCTAATACATGTTTGGGTTGAAGCTTTTTTTTCTTTCTTTTTAATTACATACTGTGAAAGTGCCACTCTTTTCTATGGCTTCTAATGGGATTGGTCTGCAGTGATGTCATCTCATGACTCTATGGGTTTAGTCTTTAAGTGTTTGTCAAAGGGTGCTGTCGATTTTCTAGTTAAGCCCGTACGGAAGAATGAGCTTAAAAACCTGTGGCAGCATGTTTGGAGGAGATGTCATAGTGTAAGCTGACTGGAATTTCCTTTCCTTTCCTAACATTACATTACAGTTTTATTTTTCTAACCAATACATTGCTAAGGATTAATAAATGTGATGATCAGTGTTATCAAATATTCGCCACGGTGGCACAATGGTAGATATACATGGCGGTTTTTCGGCTCGCTGCAATGCTAAATGTTGGCTAATATTGTGGGTTTTTCCACCATAATCCGCTATACAACGCCACAAAGCGGCCGATATGGCAGGCTTTTGGCTCTCCTCCATGGACCGCCATCCGCCATCGACAACACTAGTGATGATTTTAGTGAAGCATTTGCCTCATTTTTGTTTGGTTAGATTTATCTGTGTCTGTTAGAACTTGAGAGAGTGAGAGAGATCATAACAGAATCTGTTATGAAATGATTGAATGCATTGGATGATTCTGGTTATTACACACAATAGAGTAAATATAGAGTGATCCTCTCAACGAACACTCTTAGACTTGAGGGCAAGCTGTTGTAAACAACTTGCAACTAACTCTTAACTATAATGAAATAAATTGTAACTAATCCTAACAAACTGTAGCAGAATCATAACAGTAAACAGTATGCCTAAAAGTAAAGACTATTAGTGAACAATAGTTATTCCTAACAGTCTCCAATGCCAATGACAGCTTTTGTGATATCTTCATGGTTTGTTTGAAATGACAGTGGTCTCCAATTACTTTGTTAATTATGACTATTATTTTGTTTCTTTCTCTTCAGTCTAGTGGGAGTGGCAGTGAAAGTGGCACACAAACCCAGAAATCTGTGAAATCAAAGAGTCTTGAGAAGTTCGATAATAATTCGGGAAGCAATGACGAGCAAGATAATGGAAGTTTAGGCTTAAATAATGGGGATGGAAGTGACAATGGTAGTGACACTCAGGTATAACTTATATATATGTAATATTTTGTTGGAAAATCCCATGCATGGATTATGTCAGAAAGAAGTAAATAGGTTAACTGTTGATTGTATATTATTATCATTTCATCATGAAGTTTGCATCTTTTTCATTTTCCTCAATGTAAATTCACCTCTGCTGTGTAATTTAAGTTCATAGATTAGAATCACATGTCACATGTTTTCCTCTTACCTAAAATGGTATCTAGAGTTTGGCGAAAGACAACCCTATCTGGGGAAAATTGGATCCTCTACATGTTAAAACTTTTTGTTGGAAACCATAATTACTCTCCTGACGCCATTTCATTTTTGGTTTCCAACTCCACTGCATTTTCTTGTTTTGGTCCTTTTGGACATTTTACGGCCACTTTTGCCACCATTTAGAGAGATTTAGGTTGCGTCCTCCAGTCTAGCTCAACCTTGGGGCCTTGTGTTTTTCAGTCCCAAAAGGCTTTTAATCTTGTTCTTCATAATAACGACGCCGTTTTGATATATTTTTTTTTTAAAAATAAAATTAAAATATAAGTAGACTTTATTCAAAACTTATTTGGAACAATTTTTCTTCGTTTGTAATCACATATTATTCAAAATTTATTTGAATTTGTATTTTGTACTATTTTGTCGTGCGTGATGGCTACGTCAAGAGTTTGAATTTAAAGAATGAACTTGTGAAATTATGATATTTTGAAATTTTGTAGGTGTCGTGATATTTTTTAGAGACCGAGTCATCTAGTTCGACCGATTTATTAAATATATAGTTTTTTTTATAGAGATTGGTTTATTCAGCCGGGTTATATGGTTTAATTCGGTTTAGTCATGCGATTAGACCAGTGACCCAATGGTTCGACCAATGAACCAGCAATCCAGTACCTTTACTAGTTTGATGATCGGTCCGGTTTTTAAAACATTGCTTTTAACTCACCCTTGTATCGTACTCCCTCCGTCTCATAAAAAGTGTTCTATTTGAGCAATGCACGGTATTTAAGAAAATTATTAGATGTGTTGATTTTAATGATAAAACTAATATCATTTACTAGACTACTCTTATTAATTATAGTTTATAGAGTAGTCGAATAAAATGAAAGTTAATAAATAGAGATATAGTAATGGAAAAATAATAATAAATACTGTATTGATATTGTAAATGGACAATTATTTTGAGACAGAGAAAAAGTGCAAATGAGACACTTTTTATGAGACGAAGGGAGTAACAATTTTGTAGTATTAAAATTGACACATTCCGAAACAGCTTGCGTGGAATTAATAACAAGCGTGGAACATCGTGTTGGGATTAGTTTAAGATAAAGGTGGTCCATGTAGTTGCATCTGTCTGACTAACATGAAAGGAAGTTATTACTTGCTAGTATTTGATAAAATGAAGGACTAAAAGCTTTCACGGTGTAATAGTCATCCATTAATACATCAAACATTTGATAAAAGGAAGCAATCAGTTAAACAGCAAACACCACAACAGGTCATCTATGTACTGGTTAAGCTAACTGGCCACAGGTCATCTATGTACTGGTTAAGCTAACTGGCCAGTTATGTCATATAGAGGTCGCAATCTAATTCTTTTAACCAAAAGCTAATTGTCATTTATTATGTTCTCCTTTTGCAGAGCTCCTGGACCCAACGAGCTGTAGAAGTTGACAGTCCTAAATCTGGCTCTCAGTGGGATCAGATAACTGAGTGTCCCGACAGCACTTGTGCTCAAGTTTTTCATTCCAATGCTGAAATATGCAGGGCCAAGGTGGTTCCTCCGGTCATAAAGGAACAAATAGGTAAGGTCAAGTTGCCTTGATCTTCCTGTCACTGCATTAACTCTTTTCTTTTACTCAGTCACCCAAACTGTATTTGTGTTATGCTTGTGGTATTAATATTACCGTGGTAGTTCAAGATTTTCCTTTTGACTATATCGGCCTCAACATATAGTGAATGTGATTCTCGTTGAAATACATGTTTTGTGGAAGAAATTTTTTAAGCAATTTCTTCCAGGACACTGACTTTAACACTCATCATTATTTTTCCCTGCTTTTTTGTGTTTTATTTTCGGAACTTCGTTCAGCGGCAAGTGACACATTAAAAGGTATTTAGATTTTGAATGTATTTGGGATGTGCTTTAGTTTTTCGATTCACTGAGTCAATACTTAATGCAAAATCGCGAGTTTCATTTCTGAATCCATCATGTGTACAATATTTTAATTTTCCACTTTCCTTTTCCTATGTTAAATTCCTTATTTAATAATGCATTTGATAGGATAATGGGTTGGGCCTGAGCCCAAGTATTGGGCAGAATAAAGAATTATTTTTAATTGCTGATGTGGCCAGTTAGTTAGAGGAGGCAATGGGTACATGTAACCCCTGCACCAAGGGCTGGACGTCAGCAATTTGTATATGCATTGCTACACGTGCTTGTGCATGTACAAGCACACACCTTGTTTTGTGGATTATGTATTAAATGTTTGAATGCTATTTTTCCCTATAAGAAATGAAAGTTGAGCCAGTAGATATACTGACTTGATGATTGACTGTATAAATGGGGTTCCAGTTGAAATTGCAGGTTCAAAACATATTAACACACTTGATGTAGGCCCCTCTAAATTCAATGAGCAAATTAATAGAGGACAGCAGGAGCTTAATTGTGAGAATCAATCTGGCAAGCTAAGATGCAAAGGGCTTTCATTATCTGATGGTGTTATTAGCACTTCTGATTCACAAATGCGAAGTGGAGAAACTGAAACTCTAAATAGAATACCCAAGTCCTCAGATATTTACAACAAAGGTACTAATAATGACGAGGAGTTGCCATCTCTTGAGCTCAGTTTAAAGAGGCCTAGAGAAGTTAAAGAAGCTGGTAACACCATCAGTTTAAAGAGGTCTACAAGTCAGGATGAACGGAATGTTTTAAGACGTTCTGATCTGTCTGCTTTCACAAAGTATGATGATTTGGTGTTATTATTTCGTATTCTTAATTATTTTGAAGATGTGTAACTATATTTGTTAGAAGTATTTTTCTACAGGTACAATGCAGCCCTTAATGCTAAGAAGTCTCCTACCAGATGTGTTGGAAGTAACTCTCCACATAATAACAGCTTAGAAGTTACAAAGAAAGATTCGTCTCTTGATGTTCAATCTCATTCTAGTGGCAATCCTCCGAACCAGAACTCAAATGGTAGCAATAACATCGATATGGGTTCCACTACTAATAATACTTTTACCAAGTCTGCAGTTATAAGTGAGCCAGCAGTGGCATCAAAAACCAAATTTGTGTACAAAACATCTGCTTTCCAGCCCATAAAGAGCAGCCTCTTGCGTACTTCTCAACAGGTCGTCTTGCATAATAATGAAGATACGACAACAACGATGCTGGCACCACCTAAAATTGACACTAATAAGGGTTCTGCTACTCAGGATTTCCATTACCAGTATGAAAACCACAACAATGTTGCTAACATGCAGCATCAGTTGCCACCTGAGAATGATGCTGAATCTTTAAAGAAAATGACTGATGTTGCTCCACACTGCGGTGGGTCATCAAATGTGGTTGAAGTGTTAGTTGAAGGTTACAGTATCAATAGAAGTGCTTCAGGCAGCAACGTTGAAAGTAATGGACAAAATGGGAGAAGCACTGCAATTAATGCTGGAGGAACAAATATAGAAAGCAACAATGGACTCGCTGGGAATAGTGGTAGTGGTGATGCTAGTGGGAATGGAAGTGCCAACAGAGTAGACCAAAACAAGAATTCTCAAAGGGAAGCAGCCCTAACTAAATTTCGCCAAAAAAGAAAGGAGAGAAAAGAGAAGTGCTTTCATAAACAGGTAAATTGAGGACAGAATACATACAAAAGCGATTTAATGTCCATTAAGCTTAAATAAGTTTTTTTTTTTTTTTTGTCAAGTAGCCTAGTGGCTGGAGTTCACCCTTTAAAGGCAACAAGTGGGATGTCAAGGGTTCGGAACCCGCCCCCCTACCTTTGATGTCCGTGCACAGCTACCAACTGAGCTGACTTAACCGGACAACTTAAATAAGCTTTTGATCCTTGAAAAATATGACATTTTTTGAATTAATACTGTTAATTTTTTTTTTCATTTTAGTCCATATAACCGATAAAAATATACCTTTAGTTCTTAAATGTGTAGTCCCTGCATGAGTTGAGTGCTAAAGACATATTTTTGTTAAATATATGGGCTAAAAATATTGTCAACCGAAACCAATTTGAAGAAACACTTCTGGACCAAAAACCAGTTTAAACTATCTGTTGCTATGGTTAATATTGATAGGAACAGGAAATTATACGAAAATATAGTGGAGATTATCTCCACTCAGACCAACTTCAGTAAATACAGATTTCTTAGGCAAACCCAAGAAAAATATATTGAAAAATAGCAATGGAATCCTGCTATGACCAGGAAATCCCGACACTTCCTTCTCTAAAACTTCTCATTTCTTTCTCTACTCCTCATCCCTCGTCATTTGCATTTATCCCACTTTCTGGTGGTGATACCGAAATCATTCTCTCTCCAATCATGCTCATCAAGTCAGCTTTCCTGGCTGTAGCCTTCTCTTAGTAATCTTTCCCCTGATCATAACATAGGAGGTTGAATTTTCTTTGGGTTTGTTACTGTTATATGGCAAAACTATTTCTTAGTATATGAGCTTTTGGAAGAGTTGGAGATTGACAGAATCTAAATTTTGATGTTGAGTTGAACTTGGGCTTTCTTTGGGATTTCGTGAAGCATGGTAGTGCAAGGTTTATTCTGTAATTACCCTATTGAAGTAGAATTGAGATGATGTAGTTTGCTTAGATGAAATACTTGATATGATATGTTGGATTATATACCATTTTGGTGTCATTGGTTCGCCCCCACTTCTTTATATCCATTTTTTTTCTGGATTTGGTTCCAAAATGCAAACAAATAATGTGCAATGCTCATTTTGATATTCAGTAGTAAGGAAACCATAGTATGATACGTAAGTGTAAATTATGCATCCATCCTAAGGGTTCTTGGTTATGTTTCATTTCATGTCTTGAAATATGTTCAAGTTCATAAGAAACTTTGGTTAAATTTCGTTAAACTGAGAATGGGAAGGGCTGTGCTGGATGATACCATATGAAGGCAAAATATAGCAACTGATATTTAATATGCAGCAGATGATTATTAAAACCAGGAGTGTGAGTTTGAGATCATTTATAGAACTGACATCACTATTTTTCAAATTTTGAACAGACTTCGGTCACGTCTGCTTTTGGGTCACCAAAAAAATTGAGATTCACCTATCAATGAGGATAAATGTCCGTTGATAGCAAGTTTCTCATTTCTATAAAACAGGTTCACAATGTGTATAATCTGTATAATCTGTATTTTGGGGCTAACTCAATATGGTTTGAATTTCAGGTTCGATATCAGAGCAGGAAGAAATTAGCTGAACAACGACCGCGGTACCGTGGACAATTTGTGCGACAGTCTTCAAACAATGAAGCAAGTGAGGCAACAGATAATTAATTCACTGAGCATTTGATAGTTATACGGACGTAAAAGATCTAGGTCTAGAAGCCTTCATGTGATATTTGGGAATTGTTCTCTCTTCGTGTATTATATTGTGCTAACGTGTAATTAACTCTAGTTATTCCAACGTCTAATGGCTCTAGTTATTCCAACTTGTTCATTTGGTGCTTGAATCCATTTATGTTGTGACAAGTATTATTATATTGATTTTGTGCTTGCAAAAATTACATTTAGCTACACCGTAATTTCTACTACATTATCATTGACAGTGCTTGACTGCTGCAATTGTTTAGTGTAGTTCTCAACCAACTGCCTACTTTTTGTGTGCAGGGTTTGAATGATAAAGAAATTTCATCACCTAAAACAAGGGTGTTTAAGACCTACCTGTTGCCGTGATCTAACCCAGTTCAAGCTTATTTAGGAAGTAGAATTTGACCCGTGGCAAGATCACATATTCTAACCTAGGAGTATAACTTTTGAGAATTTCTTAATGCATCTTATATGATACTTATATATCATGTGAGAATATTAAAATGTTCTCTAGATTCAAGAGATACATCTTTGGACAGATTCAATTTTGATTAAATGCTAAAATATTTCGGAGATACATCTCTGTTTATTTTACAGAAATATATCTCCGTAATTTATCAGAACAAAATATTATTACTATATACTTATACAATCCATAATACTATTACTATATACTAATACACTATTGTGTATGTCGAACTATATCTCCTCTGGCTTTTTTGCATCTTCGGGCTCCTTGTCTATCGATCCCCCATCCTCCGACGTTGTCTCCGGTACAATAATGTCCCCTGTGTCGCTGTCATGATGACATCTAGGATCCGCCTCACATCAGACTAATCAGAGAAGATACCTCTATCAATGCCTACCTGTATAATCTCCACTATCTGACGACATCTATACAAGACATCTTGAGCATGATCTAATTTTGATTGCTCCTTCTCTAATATCTCCTGATGAGCTGACCTCAGCAGATCTCTTGGAGTAGCATGAACCATATACAAATGTGACACCCTAAAGAACCACTTGATGTACCTGTCGACGTAACTCCAGTCGCTCTCAACTATGGTACTCTGTCTCATTCGGTATCAGATGATTCTCATAATCATCAAACATTTCATCCATCTGTCTACGTGTCAAAGCAGGAGGAGCAGAGACTGTAACACCTCACTTCCTAGAATTAAAATAAAATACGATTATTTCATGTAAACATCAGAGTTTCTCCTCAAAAGTGGGATATCACATCAAATAATTCAACATAACTCGTCATTAGATGGTTTTCAAAATAAAACAGCGGAAGTAATCATTAATTCAACATTCTCGGCCATCCGCCAAATTACATAAAATCATTCCCTAACAAGGTTCACCAAAGTATGATACGTCATAGGAATAAAACAAATTCAGCATAATAAAAGTAAACACCCAAGTCCCGTGCTACGTATCAAAGCATCCTAAGACTCGACCTGCACACCACTATCCAAGCTAGCTATGTACCTGGATCATCTGTACTTCCGAAGAAGCACAAACCACACAACAAAGAAGGGGGTGAGAAAACGTGATCAAAGTTATCGGTAATAAGATACATGATCAAAAGGTAGTAATTACATAAAATATCACCCAACATGCATCAACCACGACCTACTGTCCAAACATCAAACACAACCTGTAATAATGCAAATATGCAACTCAACACCATGCATGCGGTACCAACTCATTGGTTCATTCAATCGAACCCCGGATAGATCACATACACTCCTTCTTGGCAATGATCTATCCCCACCATTCTCCACAAGGGAGTACGAATGAATCACATACACTCCTCTTGAGCAATGATTCATCCCACCAAAACACCATAAGGGAGTACAGATGAATCACATACACTCCTCCTGATCACTAAGTGCACACGACACCAAATCCACAACAAATAAACTCAAGCACACTAAGTGCACACGATCCTCCTGATCACATCACCATGCATTGTATATATTACACACCAATTAATTATGTTAATTAAATTAAACATTAGGGAGATTCACATTTTAACACCAAGTATACACCCTTCACCATTAAACACCATCCCTATACCCATCATTACCAAAGGGATCCTACAAAACGAGAGAACAAAGCAAAACAATATAAATCATATTTTTGGTGCTTAGACTGGCCATACGCGTATCCACCTCCTCATACGCGTACCATATAACAACACACAAGCTATACGTTATATATCGAAAACATCAACATTTGATGGAAACAACAAAAGAAATAAAACAAGTTGCTGTCACGCTCGCTGGCCCACTCACCTAGTGAGATCCTAGCGAACCATCGGTACCTCCTTTGCCTAGCGAACACGCTAGCGAAGGCTGTCTGAAAGTTACTGAGAGCGTTCGCTACCCGCTCGCCTAGCGAGGCCCTCGCGAACCCTTCGCTACCCCATTCACTTCCAGTGAGATTGGATCATTTGGTTCTGCCCAAGTCTGGGACCATTCGCTACTGGCTCGCTAGCAGCTCGCTAGCGAACCACCCGATTTTCACCAAATCAGTTCATGTAGTCTTAGCCTAACATTTTTCGACTAAACTACACCATCTATTCCAGATTCTCACCGTTTAAACATCGATTTCTATCGATTAAACCATTTTCGAACTAAAATGGAAAACTACACAAAAACACCCAAACAATCCAAACAATCCCTACATAATCACATGCATGGATAGGATAACCATATTTCACACCTTTACCTCGATTAATTGATCAGATTGATGAAGAATTCTGAAGAATTGGCAGCCCTAGCCTTGCCTCTCTTCCTCCTTGTTCTTCCTCCTTAATCCTTCTCCCCACAGGTTTTATCGTGTTATTCCCTTTTTTTTTTACCCCAAAACCCTCCTTATATAACTCTCCATCCTCATCTTCTTTACTTAATCTAATAATAATACAAATAATAATAATAATAACAATAGAATAACAATATTACTATTAGTTATTAAATTATTATCATTAATAATTATATTATATTAATATTAAACTCCATAGTTTATTAAATGATCTCTATAATTAAGGGCACTCACCAACGCACTCAGACACACCCCCACATAAAGACACACCGAAATAAAATAACACCAAAAAGACTAAATAATTAAAATGGGTGTTACAGAGACCATAAGATGTGTGAGAATGATCTGAGTGTAGGCGAACTGGCGCATGACGTGTTCAGGTAGGTGAGGAGCAGTGAGACGTGATACGTATGTCAACCATCCTGAGTATAACACTATCTCATTAATATGTCGTGTCTTACAGTGATCCACATAGCTGTTTAGTGTATGTCCTCGACAATCAAGCAGTCGGGGTACACTCTGAATAGTTCTGTCGTCTGATTTCCTCTGAGGGGGGAAAATGCAGTAGCATACGATATATCCTCACTATAAGTCGGTACACTCGCTCAGCCGGAGATGCGCGGAAAGTCCTAAAGGATCCAAGTCTAAAAAGTTTGAAACACACAAATCATCGATAATGGCGTTGTAAAAATGAACATGAAACAAAAATAGTAAAAGAAAAATAAATATTACCGTCAGTAGTGTGATGCTATCGGTGATCTGCTTCGTCTTCTACCTACAACCCTATGATAGCTTTGAGTACAGATAGACCAAACAAGCGCCCCTCACTTGTACTCATAAATCCACTCGAAGTTCTCGAAATACCGCAAGTAAATGACATCTGTATAAGTGGAACTCTTGTCCAAAAAATCGTAGTGCCAATCAAATATAGCAGGTATGCTCTCATAGCATACGCTTAATGGAGCCACACTGCTCGTCATTTTGTGTAGCCGGATGTGCTCTAATGATCTCATTTGTGTATATCTTTTTCAAGAATTCAAACTTAGCATGAGCACCCTACCCTGGATTCTATCCAACTCCTCTATCATTGCCGCTAGGTTAACTCTCAGATAGTCTACCATCATCTCGAGTGCCTCATTTTTGATAATCCTTCAATGATATAGAAGTTTCCCCCTGATTGGAAGATGTAGCAAACACGATACATATCGAGTGTGATAGACATCTCACCATGCGGGAGATGAAATGACAAGGTCTCGGAGTACCATCTCTCCACGAATGCATTAAACATATCGTGGTTGACCGTAATATAATTTGTCACGCACAAGTCCTTTATCCTAGATAGGGACAAAGCTGTCTGAAACCACTCCTCATTTTCTTGAGGCAGTAATCTTCCGTCCGTGGTTAATAATCTTCAACAGATCATGTTCTTGCAGAAAAATAAATAAACTTCAAAAACTTGTAAATTAAAAGAATGAATCCAACTAATGTTACCTCTTCGTCCCAGATAAGTTTGGCAGTATGGTCTGGATATAGAGGCAGTAGTGAAAAATTTACAAGGTTTCCTTCAAATACCTCTGGCTCAGCATCCTTAACAGCCTTACCATCCGAAGTTGACACTAACTCAGTAGGAGGTGACACTGACTCAATAACATCAGTAGTAGGAGGTGCCACTGACTCAGTAGGAGGTGACACTGACTCAGCAGCAGGAGGTATCACCGGTGACTCGAGTATCTCATGCGCACGAATAGGTGAAACCTACACCTGTGGGAGGATGGTGAGAGTGATGTGTCGATAAGAGAAACCTATTTCCTACGGGAAGAAAAAGATATGGAAGTATGAGCCCCAAAATTAAATCGCTCTTATGGCCAGAAGGAACAGAAGCCTCCGAAACCTGACTTTTCTCCCGCTGCATTGATGCATGTTGTGCAATCCTACCGTGCCTCAGCCTATCGTGTCTATCAGCCATAATGACTGCAAATTAAATTAAACCAGACAATTAGTGCAAGCAAGCAACTCCAGAAACAAGAAAAAAAACAGAGAAAATTTTGGAGATGCATCTCCTGTTATTAGAAAACTGAAACGTTGAAAAATTTCAGAGATGCATCTCTGAAATTTTCTGCAACACAGCAGACGCGTGA